GCATTGACTCACGTAACCAACTGGTAGTGCATTATCTCCTGTTCTTCGTCAACAATACTTTGATCGTAAGGATTGTCTTCGTATTGTTTGATAAATTTGAGAATCGCTTCGCACTGAACGACACAATCATTGATTAACAAACTGATTGTCAATTGTCTCAAATATAAACACAACAATTACCTCAACGAACGGCATATTCCAACAGACAATAGATCCATGTCTTCGCCATTGTATGCAATAAATTAATTGTCAAAAATAAAATACCATTTAATGATAAATACCTGAAGACAAAGAACTCTCTGCGGATATTATTGATCTCATATTTGGCCCGAAAGTGAAACACATCATCGGTTTCGCCGTCGAAAGGCATCAAATCATACAAACCCTGCCCTTTGAGACCGTCGGCCAACTCTTCAAAATCATATTCTTCGGCAGTACTGAAGGCAAGGATTGGCGAAAGTGTGTCGGCGTTTACGTCAACCATTGCCCGCTTCCTTGGGATCCGTTTCTTGGACTTCGATGACTGCACTTCATTGTCGCTCAATGTGTTCAATGGTTTGGCTTTAGTGTCAGTCTTCGCGGTTGAATAGTGTTTGGATAATGCAATTGAAGGCAACCATAAGTGCTTTGAATTCAATTGATTGTCATTTTTCACTAAAAAACCATAACTTCTATTGAATTGAATTTTGTTTAAAACTTTCAATTCATTAGTAAATAGTTTTCTCATATAATTATAGCCATTATATGAATGAAATGCTTTCAATACGCGATTCATTGCTTTAATTCACAACACATTTGCAAACAATTGCTTTCAATTATATTCAAAATTATTTGTCATTTAATTTATTTATAAATTTATTATTTTTTCAAATTTTCTTTCAAACAAAATGTTTTGATTTCATCATTGATGTCTGCAAACTGTCCATAAATAATGTCATATAATTGACACCTATTTAGTGCTATTGATTATAAATAAAAGTTTAATAAACATTACGTTATTTATTAACAAAGTTTATCACATGTTATGCAATGTGAAGATCAGAAGCGAGTTTACTGTATCTTAAAGTTATTCAATTAATTGTCATTTATTTAAATCTTAATTATTAATACATTTTACAGCAATTAAAAGTTTTTCAAATCTATGACTAAATATTGCTTTTCTGCTCACATTTCGCACTCATTTCATACCATTTCCGTACTCTTTAGAGATACAATGTATTCTTCTTTTTATTAAATTGATCCAAATTGTAACGAGTCTTACGCCAGTTGTTATTGAAATCAATCACTTGATCCACACTCTGAGTGTCTACCAAACGGTTCCTAACATTTGCCTTTGCCTTCACTGTCACCAAACAGATCCAAATCCAACACCATTTCCAAGAAATGCTCTCTTCATTGTTTCCAATTAGTCAACCATTAAATCAATTTTTCTAAAATTGTAGCTAAAATTAGGATAAAACAATTACAATATGACTGAATGGGTTGATTCATGTATTGATTAACAATATGTTAATCATTGCCGTTTAATATGAGTTACAAATCAATGCAAACAATAAATGCAATAAAAACTTCATGAAAAGTAAAGCAGAAAATATATTTATGACAAGTTTTATTGTAAAAGTTTTATTTTAAATTAAATTTAACTTATTTTCTGTATATAAATACAAATTATTTATTGAATTACATATTAAATAATTCATTACTTAATATATATTAAACTCATCATTGAATTAATCAGAAGAAGTTTTTCTCGTAAACAATATGAGGCAATAGTGGCTTAAATGTCATCACATTTTTTTATTCAAAATTTAAATTTCAAATGATTAAAATAGCAAATAATATGCAAAAACTTTTATTTTTGAGTAAATGTTAGGAAAGCATCTGAAAACTTCTCTAAAGACTTTTCTTCTAAAGATATTTTATTTATAAACATTAATATTAATTAAAAGGTAAATATAATAAATTACAATAAAATTAGCTTAGTATTTAATTTGGAGATCTTATCAAACAATAGTTGATAATAAAATCGTATCATATTTATAAAGGCATAAATTAATGCATTTATAATCTAATATAAAAGTCTAATTTCTTATCGCAAGAAAAAATATAAACTCAAAGCACTAATTGGATGCGAATTGTGGCCTATTTTCAAAACTTATAATTTACAACAATAGATATGGAGGTAATGTCATAGATATGTGCGAAAATCATCTCAATATATGCTTTTCGATCAACTTTTTGAGAGCAAATGAATCGGAAATTGAATTTTTTAAGCCCTGAAGTCCTGCGCAAAGAATGGCTTCGCTGTTAAACCTTTGGTTCCTTTCAATTAGTGATTAGCATAAGAAAAGTTTTCAATACA